AAGGGGGAAGTTGATTCACTTTATTAATTCCAACTAATGTTGATTTATATTTTAGTTGGACAATGTGATATTATTTGTTTGTTTGATATCTATTTGCATGAGCATATATCTTTTTGCCCATCTCTTTTTGATAATGTCAAAAGGGGGAAGATGGTGTAGATATGCATATATTCAGGGGGAATTGTATTTGTGCATATCTTAATGGGGAAGATAGTATAGATTTGTATGTCTCTGTTTGATTTATGATGCAATTCTTGAGGGGGAACTAGCCTTGTATGATGCATATCTTCTAATGGGTTTGTCATTATCAAAAAGGGGGAAATTGTTTGACAATGTGCTATCATGAATATGTATTTTTGCAATGTCCTTTGCCCATTGTCTTTTAGGTTTTGATAATGACAAAAGGGTGACAAAACATCATCATCATTTTGTGCATCAAGGCTAAGAATCAAAGCTACAACAAGTTCATATCCGTCCGGGAAAAAGGGACTTGAGCATCGGTGGAAGGAACGAGATCGAAGAGGTTGTTTCTTTAGTTGGGTAGTGTTTTAGGTCTTAGATTTTGTGTTAAAGAGTATGGCATCTCTAAGGTTCATTCCCTTATCATCCTACCTTTAAAACACATTTTTTTCAGCAAACTATTCGAATAAATTGAAAACTTTTCGAATAAATCCCTGAAATTCTATTCTGACTTAGTTGAATAAATCCAGAACTAGTTGAATAAGTCAGACTGTAGTTTCACCAGAACTAGTCTGTAACGCCCCGAAACATACCCTAGAATTATTATTAATTAATTATTCGATTAAACAAATTTGTTTTGATTATTATTGGGCTTTGGGCCGATATGATATATCTAATGACTAGAATGTTTGTATAGATCGTTTCTACGTTCATAAACGGTCGTTTGGTTGAGTTTTGTGTTTGACATGCTTGAAGAACCAAGAATCATAAACCATGAAATTGATGTTAAAACTATGAATTAATGATGCCAAAATGATCTTTGAACCTTGGAGAACATTTCTATATAGTTTAATCGAAGTTTGGAACCTAAAAATGGAATTCCCGAAATTGAAGTCGCGAGGTAGAAGACGATGAACAGTGGCTGAAAAGCCACTGTCTAGATCGATCCAGGGGCTTGGATCGATCCCCTGGGAGTGATTTTTCATAGTTTGGATCGATCCAAAGGGCTGGATCGATCCCCCGAAGTTCTGATCCGAAAATTTGCCCGAAATTGCTATTTTTGAGCTCTAAAATCCTATTTTTGATAACAATTGATTATGATCATTATAAAAATGATTTTTCACATTAAAAGTAATATTTTTAACCAATAAAATGTTATGTGATGCATGACGGTAAGTTAGGGTGTTAACACCCGAAGCTAGGCCGCTAATTGTTATTGAATTGATGAATGATTATGGTAATGATTATTAGTTGGTGATTATGATGATTAAATCATGATAAATGTTTTGATTAAAAATGGTAATTATGAATGATTAAATCATAATGAATATATTGATGATTGTGAAAATAATATGTATTGTCAAGGGTATCTAGAAGACATCTAAGATATACCCATATAAATGTTGATTTGAAAGGTATCTAGAAGAACTCTAAGATATACCCATATTAATGTTGATTTGAAAGGTATCTAGAAGAACTCTAAGATATAGCTATTTAAGTTAGGCCTTGCGGGTATGAACCCCGGTGGCTAGGGTTAAAACGTACGTACGGGATCCAAGAACCAAACTTGAGTACCTACTCGTTTGGGGGTACCACCCACCCAACAGTGAACACTACGATGTCGGTTTTTGGTTGGCCTTAAGTGAAGGTAAGTTTAAGATTTTCAAAACCCTTTTATCTTAAACTAGGCCTTGCTTAAGGATTATTTAGGAATATTTTATACTGGAATATAGTTTAATTATTTAAACTAGAATTCGTTTAAGGGTTGACAAATATTAAAGTGATTGACCTTAGACTAAGAATAGTTTAAGGATATTGTTGAATATTGAATATTGAATATTGAATATTGAATATGAGTAAATATTGAATGATGAATATTGAATTGAATATTGCAATTATTATGAATGACTGATGAACATTGAATGTGAATATAAATGTTGAATAATGCATGATGAATAATTTTTAATAATTATTGATTATCTGAACTGAACATTATGTGCATGATATCAAATGATTTGATTATGAATTTAGATTCA